TCCAAGATCTTGCTCAGGAATGGGAGGTTTGAGATCGGCCGGTGGTTGTTGAGGTCCTCCGGGTCCAAGCCAGGCTTCTTCAGGATTGGAGAGACTGAGGCAGTTTTGAGGCAGGGTGGGACTGTGCCAGAAGACAGGGACAAGTTCACAATAGCCGCGTTCACACCGGAGTAGTTTTCACCGTACTTTTCGCGTTTAGTTCCGTTAGTACCCCTTATGTCGCGTTCACACCAAAAATCGTACTTAATCTCGGGAACTTTTACCCCCATTTTTAGAGCCCGCTGAGAGATCGTACTTTCCTGTGGGTGAAAAGTGCCCCAGTGCTGATTGGCTGGGCGAATTGCAAACCACGCCCCGTACAACTGTGAAAATGTTTTGTAGAGCCGCCATTGTTTTTCCTCGCTACAAAAACCCAGCGCACCCAACTCGAAGATGTTCGATCGTTGTTCGAAGAAGTTGCTTGAGATGGGAATCTTGCACAGCGCCATGGCATGCCGGCTAAAAATAAAGAAACTCCGGCAGGACTACAAAAAAATTAAAGACTGGAATAATAAAAGTGGTAACGACCGGAAGACCAGTAAATGGTACGACCGCTTGGATGCTTTGCTAAGCCACAGACCTTCATTCTCCGGTACAGCATCGAGCCTTGATTCGGGCAGTATGGTATTGGAGGCCGCTCCAACGGTGGATTTAGAGGGCGACCACGACGAAGGTAAAAGCAACTACATGCACTGGGGTTTTAATCTGCACAATAATGGTCTCGGATGTACTTTTATTTGCTCAGTAGATCAAGCTAGCCATGCTAGGCTGAACTAGCTAACACTGGCCCCGAGCTGGCTAATAACATCTAGCTAGCTAGATATTCTCGGCCGCTATGAAAACGTTTTTACTTGTGAATAACTGTGCAATGTTTCTGTAATTTGCTTCACTAACTCATGGCACTAATCGTGTGTTTCAGGCGAGGAAAATCATCAACTCTCGGGATTGGAAACAAGCGAGCTTTGCCTTGAAGATCAAAGCGCTTGCTCGTCTCCCTTACCAGCAACCAAACGCAAAAGTACACACACTGTAACTTTGTCTTGAAAGAACGTTACGCATGGAACTGATGTTCACAATCATGTTTATTTCCTTCTTGGTACAATTATGAAACAGCGTGAAAACGTATTCGCCTAGACCAGCATTTACAAATTTTCGCGCCTTTTTACTCTCTCACAAACATTGTAAACATCCGGGCTAGAGGTCACATGACTTCCGGTAAGAAATCGCTTCCACTTGGAGCATATATCGCCACCTACTGTTGATTTATTAAATGTTTTTATTAAATCCTTGTCCTCAGACCAGTGCTTTTGAAGAATTTGAAGATCAGCTTGTTTGCTTCATTTCTTGATTTACTTTCATATATTGACTTGAAATCCATGTCCTTGATGTTGAGTTGTTCCAGTGCAGTTTTCAGAATGAGTCTTTGTCTGTTATAATCCGGGCAGCTAAAAAATACATGATGTATTGTCTCTGGTTGTTGATCTTGTATCTTGCTTATTTTCCCCTCTTAGGAAAGCGGACACAGGATGCACTTTTCTTTGAGACCGTCCAGGCGTTGGAGGACCGGCGTGCCGTGGTGAATGAGTCGCTGCGTGGAGATCAGATGGTGCAGTTCACCAAGGCCCAGGAAACGGAGGACAAGATGCTCACCTCGATGGAGCGCCAGGCAGAAGTGTTCAAGCAGCAGATGGAGCGCCAGCAGCACCAGGATGAAGTGTGGGCGCTGTGCCATGAGGAAGCGTCGGCGCCAGGAGCTGCGCCAGGAGCGGCAGGATGAGCGACAAACTGCATTTAATAATGGGTTTCTGGAAGTGCTTTCCCAGCTAGTGAAAGCCAACAGGTCTTCCTCCCTTTAGTTGACACTGTTAATGTCTGGTGCTGAGCCTATGCCTACACCTGCAGTTTATTTGGTATAGTTTTTGTAAATACTGACACACGACACACAACTTTGCACTAAGGTGTGTATGCTGCTGAGACTATCCCTACACCTGGGACAGTTTATTTTATATTGTTATTACTGTTATCACTTTATTTTATATATAATGTTTACTGACATGTACAACTGACACTTTATTTACATTTAAAATTGTTCTATTTAATGTTATGTCTTGAGAGTGCAATAAAGAAAACCGACATGGCGATTAAACAGATCCTGTATATTGCTTATTTCTCCTGACACTTTATCTTTTGTGACCTGTGTAGCATCCTATACATCACATGTAAGTGATTATTTTGATACCATCATGTTTCATCGGTTATAAACTGGCAAAGCTGTATTTGTCATTTATTTATCATCAATGTTGCAACCTTGTGGGGGAATGGCAGCGGCACATACACAAATATGATAATTTATATCGTTTTAAATCGTTTAAAACTAACATGTATGTTTGCATAGTGTTTATGGCAGACGGATGCAGTGGGTCTCGGGAAGATATATAATAAAGGTGGGTTTGCTGCTGAGACTCCCTACAGCTGGGACAGTTTATTTTATATTGTTATTACTGTTATTATATAGTACAACTGACACTTTATTTTATATTGACAATGTTTACTGACATGTACAACTGACACTTTAGTTACATTTAAAATATTTCTATTTAATGTTATGTCTTGAGAGTGCAATAAAGAAAACCGACATGGCGATTAAACAGATCCTGTATCTTGCTTATCGTCATCAGCCATCCTACGGTGAAACATGGCAATCATGTGTGCTTTCCGTCGGCCAATCCTTTTCCTAAGGCTTTTGAACTGCCTTTGATGCTGAAGAAACTTTGCGATTATAGCATTCGACGTGTGGCGGCTCCGGATTTGTGTCGGACGCCTAATAGGCTCAGGCTCTGGCTCAGGCCGCATTAACGAAGTTACAAAGCTGTATAACATGAGCACAAACAGCACAACTTCAGTCGACTCCATCTCCATCATGTCTGAGGTCGGAAGGTAAACAACAGACAGTATACGCGGGAAGTTTTTCTTCTTCTTCTTCTCTTGTTTTCTAGCGGATTGCAAACAACTTTAAGGTGCATACCGCCACCTACTGTACTCGCCGTGAAGTGGTTTGTGGCCTGCCAGTAAAGCCAAAGCAGAAGAAGAAGAAGTGACGTCAGCGGCTCATTTGCGTAATCTTCCCTCAGGGAAAAGTACTCCGGTGTGAACGCGATCTGTACTAAGTGCCCTGGGGTTAAAAGCGCCGGGGCTCTTAGTGCCGGAACTAAGTACAGGAAAGTACTTGGTGTGAACGCGGCTATTGTCAACAATGATGGGGCAGATGGTGGATAGAGCTGCCTTGACCAAGGCTGTGGGCATGGGGTCGAGAGAGCAGGTCGATGTCTTGGCCTTAGTGACCAGCTTGGCAATTTGGATGACATCCACTGGGGAGAAGGTGGAGAGGCAGCACCTAGGTGGACGATTAATACCTTGCAGCTGGGGTGTGGTTGGAGTAGGGGGGGGGGGGGGGGCACCAGAAGCTGCTGGTGGATGGAATCAACTTTGGCCTGGAAGAAATCCAGAAACTTCGAGCAGAGATCGAGAGCACCTGGAGGATGCGGTGGGTCCAGGGGGCGGAGAAGACGGTTTATGGTTGAGAACAGCATTCTCGGTTGGGATTGTTGGATGCCAATGAGAGTGGAGTAGTACGAAGACCTAGCCAGGGAGAGGGCTTCTTTGTAGGCCTTTACATGGTCCTGGTATGCTTTGCGGTGGACGGTGAGGCCAGTTCTTGTTTTGAGTCTCTCTAGCCGATGACCAGAAGCCTTCAGGGCGCGGAGTTCAGTGGTGAACCAAGGGGCCGAACGGGTGAAGGGGACAGTCCGGGTTTTGAGGGGGGCTAGAGAGTCAAGGCTGAGGGATAGAGCTGAGTTGTAGCGAGCAAGCCGATTTAGCTTTTATTCATTTCTGGAGGATATCAAAAAATATCTCTTACCAGTAAGAATGCAAGTTCTTGATATCAAAAATGCAATTCTTATTAGTAATAATGTTTATTTCTGATATCAAGAATTCAATTGCAACTAGTCGAAATGCCAATTGTTGATATCAGAAATACAATTTGAACTAGTTCAAATTGTATTTCTGATATCAACAATTGAATTACTGATATCAGAAATTGGCATTTGAACTAGTTCAAATTCCAACTCCCATTGAAATGAAGGAGAAAAACGATGCAAATCTCACTAGTTACAATTGAATTTCTGATATCAAGAATTTGCATTCCAACTCGTTAAAATTCAATTTTTAATATCAGAAATAAACATTATTACTAGTAAGAATTGAATTTTTGATATCAAGAATTTGCATTCTTACTAGTAAGAATTGATTTTTTGATATCCTCCAGAAATGAATAAAAGCTAAATCGGCTTGCCATAAAAAACAGTATAATAGGGGACCTTTAAGTCATCATTTCAAACTATCTAAATTGTAAACAATGTGAAGCAACGATTCACTTATATAACCGATAAGTTAAACCCCAAGTTTGCTGGGGTCTTATGATATAACTCACGATCCAGGTAGTAGTATTATTTATATTTATATTGTGCACACTTTATATATTGTAAGTACACAACACCACACAGCATATATCCTATTTGCTAAGGAAAACTGAAAACATAGAAAAAAAATTAGAATATACTTTTTCATATATAATAAAACGTGAATAAGGTTGTCTGTGTGGAATGTTCACTTTAAAGTAACGCAAGCACAATATTAGCATAATTGTGTTTCTCCATGGAAAAAAAATTGATGTGGGTGGGAGGCGTGGCTTTCTTCAGGATAGCGCAACAGCGGGCAACAGCCCCTCAATATGTCTGCGCATGGCCCTGCCCTGTGTGCCAGTTTATTGACACTCCGTCTGCATTTCGACATGCAATCCTAAACGTCTTTCCCAAAACGGTGACAGTCTTAAATTAACGTGACACATACAGACTTCTGCGCCCTTAAGCCCCGCCCCTGCAGACTTTGATCGATTATTTGCTATGAAGCTCAGACCAGATGACCGGGAGAGTCACTGACAGCCAGCAGCACTGAGAAACACGGGCAGGTCAAAGCTGCACTTTATTTATCTGAAGCTCTTTCGTCCCGGGATAGAGTACCCTACAATAAAAACACGTGAGGAGGGGAGAGAGAGAGAGAGAGAGGAGGAGGAGGAGGAAGCGTTGGACAGGCGCGCTTGTGATCACCACCTCTGTCAAAAATAGACCGGCGGACTGAGAGGGGTTGCGAGAGAAACGGTATGTCAGCGTCTGTAATGAAGTTTCATCAGCGCCTGCTTCAATCTATCTCCATTAAACTCTACTTTTATATACCTACTGTTCTTTTCATAATCCTAGAATATAATACTTTAGTAGCCTATAATAACATGTGATGACACAGTTTACAATGGACAGCAGACTGAGCTTTGGATCCTGAGGGTGCTCTTGTATCATAGAGGGTTATAATATAAATTGTTGTGATTGGGACGTAAAATCTTCTCACAGGACCCAGCCATGGATAAGAAGGACGACGCGGAAATGATGGACGCACCCAAACACCAACAAAATGGGGATTTAAGGTATATTTCAATCATTATTTCTCAAAGCCAAGTTCAGTAGATTCCTAGAGTGATGGTTTAAAAACATATATCAACAGGTGTCTCAATTGTTATATAGAGGAAATATAAACTTTATATTCAGGCATCATGCTTTTTGAATCCTCCAGTAAAAGCAAGAAGAAAGGAAAGAAGAAAGAGAAAGAACCAAAATTGCCCATGGTTGGCGCCATTGGTGTGGTGAGTTCAGACTGTAATCTCTCCTTCTCATAACCAGCTGTTTATGCAATGTGCCTACATTTTAAACTGATAAAATCAAAATCATTTGATAATTAATGTGTAAACCAAGCCAATGAAAGCCATTTCTACTGTTGTTATATTGCTTTAGATGCAAAAACAACTGAAAAATATGTATTGATTTTTGTATGTTTCTGAGATTCTGAGATTAATGGGTAAAGACCGATAATGGGCTGTAAGTGGGATGATGTTGCAAGTACACCTAGAGATGTGTGTGTGTGTGTGTGTGTGTGTGTGTGTGTGTGTGTGTGTGTGTGTGTGTGTGTGTGTGTGTGTGTGTGTGTGTGTGTGTGTGTGTGTGTGTGTGTGTGTGTGTGTGTGTGTGTGTGTGTGTGTGTGTGTGTGTGTGTGTGTGTGTGTGTGTGTGTGTGTGTGTGTGTGTGTGTGTGTGTGTGTGTGTGTGTGTGTGTGTGTGTGTGTGTGTGTGTGTGTGTGTGTGTGTGTGTGTGTGTGTGTGTGTGTGTGTGAAAAGAGGAGGAGGCGGGGAGAGAGGATGGGAGTGTAGCACATCCTCATGTTGTTCGGGTTTGACTCCCGGTGTCCCCTGCTGTGAGAATATAATAGCTGCATAGAGTTTAAAGTATTTCCCTTGTTCTGATTGCATTGATCACATTTGTTATTAAAATATCAAGCAAGTTACCAGTAGAATTCACAAGATACAATCATATACTGACTGACATCTGCTTTGGTGTTTCCACACTCTGTCTTTTATGTGAGTGTAGTTTAGGTTTGCAAGCGGCGTGGACATTCTGTTGATCCTGACTGGGACGCTCTGTGCTATGGTTCACGGTGTCATTCTTCCTCTCATGTGTATTGTGTTCGGGGACATGACAGACAGCTTTATAAATGACTCTGCGATGAGCCAATACAACAGCAGCATCCCCAGTGAGTTTTCAGTTAGACATAGGAGTCATAATTACCTGAAATAGGTAATTAGGTTGTCAATAACACATCATAACAATGTATTTTCTTACCTTGTGTCTTCAGATGCCACAGCACCAAGAAACAGCACCTTACAAGCAGAAATGAAGAGGTAAGACTTTATATAAAGCATAAACAGAGCTGGCTGTTGGGTGAAAATATCTCCAAAATGTTGAATTTATTGTTGTTAATGGTTTTTATATTTGTATAAAGTTTAGGTGGAGGTCGAGGAAATTGCAGTGGTTTCTCTATAAAAAATATATTCAATAAATTGCATCAACTTTTTGTTTGTATTCCCATGTTTAAATTTATAAGTTAACTTATTTACCGTCTTGTTCAAATCTAGCCAATTATTAAAATGGGCAGATTCTACTCTCATTTTCAGGTTCATAATTATTTTTCGTTTTATTAAAATGTTATATGTTGACATATAACAAAATGTTATATGTTTTTTTCTTCTCCTACTATATGTCTGAATATACATGTATTCAACCTCTATCTGAAAACGCTCCTTTTTGTGGCAGTCTCTTTAAACCCCCATCAAAAAAGCCCAGTGTACAGATTGTGAGGAAAATGTGTCGCACCTTTGCACAGGTTGTTTTCAAACCTTGGGTGGATATACTCAGATGAAAGCGGTATATTCTAATAAGCCTGCATGATACATAGTGGAGCCAAATCTGCATGGCTGGTTAAATCCCATATTTGACTTTCTTTTCTTTTTTGACAGTTTGTGGGTTTTTAGGCACTCAAAATACCCAACTGTGTAGGAACGTTAAATGTCCCATTTAAAGTCATATAAGTCAAAATACTGCTCTCTTTCCAGCTTTGCCATCAGCTACTCCATCCTGGGATTCGTCGTGCTGCTGGTTGCCTACGGGCAGGTGGCCTTCTGGACGCTGGCCGCTGGACGGCAGGCCACACGCATCCGCAAGCTGTTTTTCCACCACATCATGCAGCAGGACATCGGCTGGTACGATGTCACTGAAACAGGAGAGCTCAACACGCGTCTCACAGAGTGGGTAACGGACAAGTCACACACACACATTTTCTCATACAACCGTATTCAAATAAAGCAGGGCTCAGCAACAAACCTTTTTTTTTAAATTAACCGATACTTTTTTCAAATAAATGATTGATTATTTGGTTAATGCAAGTGAAAAATACCCACCACAATTTCCCAAAGCCTCTGTTTAAATTTTGACCCCTTGATAGCAACAACATTTTAAAAGCACTTTTCTCCTAAAGGAGGAAAATTAAAAGATAATAAATAAATAGAAAGTACTTTTATCCAGATTTCGAGAACAGCTTTCTTGTACATTTTAAGTTTTTGCTGGATAATTTTCTGTTGATCGACTTATCAATTATTTATTTCAGTTCTTCTGTAAAGTGGTTATCATCTCTGACATAGAAAAACATATTTCCAGCATATCTTTTATTATTGTAGAATATAATCCTTCATCTGAGTTAAAACATTCAAATCAGGATTATTCAAGTTACACGGTTTTCACGTTACAACATTACATGCCGCATTCCTTTTTTCATGTGCATGCGCAGTGATGTCTATAAGATCCAAGAAGGAATTGGCGACAAAGCTGGGAGGCTTCTCCAGGCCTTTACCACCTTCGTCACAGCGTTTGTCATCGGCTTCATCAAAGGCTGGAAGCTCACCCTCGTCATCCTGGCTGTTAGCCCTGCGCTGGCCATTGCAGCTGGAATCTTCTCCAAGGTAAATCTCTTCTTTTTCTACTTCTTCTTCTTCTTCCCTTTTAAAGTTCACATGCTCTTAATCTATCTGTGTGCCATTCTCTTGCTATCCATTTGTTGTTCACAGGACTCAGCCCCCTGCAGGTATTCTTAATAACATTGTGTCTTTCTCCTTGTCTTATTAGGTGCTGGCGACTTTCACTACTAAAGAGCAGACTGCATATGCCAAAGCTGGAGCTGTGGCAGAAGAGGTGCTCTCTGCTATCAGGACAGTGTTTGCCTTCAATGGTCAGGACAGAGAAATCAAGAGGTGTGTACAATATGATCAAAAGCGAAATAAGATAATACTGAATAGCAGTGATTGTAAATATATAACCCTGAGTACCGTGGGTAGGGTATAATATAACATCAGACGTTTCTAGGTGTTTTCAGTCACCTATCTGAGCTGAATTTCACTGCAGGAACATCCACATCCACAGTTAAATGCAAACTAGATTTTGACATTCATACTGATCTCATTGGGGAAAAAATCAGACTTAACGTGGTTATTTTCTATTCAACAAAGCATTACTTCTGTGTAGGGAGAATAAATCTTGGCACGTAAACTGTTCTAAGTCAGAGAAATAGCCCCTGCAAAGGCTGTAACTGGATATAACCCATAAAACCCCCATACAATGTGATTAGTGTTTCTACTGATGTGACATTTAATGATGCCAAAGGGCCTGTTGTCATTGCAATCTAATTTATATATCTAACTATGCTCTCCACTGACATGTGCTTGTGCTCCTGTTTTTGATTGTTTTGAACCACAGATACAATAAGAACTTGGAGGATGCAAAGAATATGGGAATAAAGAAGGCGACATCTGCTAACTTTTCCATGGGCCTCACCTTCCTGTTGATCTACCTGTCCTACGCTCTGGCCTTCTGGTACGGAAGTACGCTCGTCCTGAGTAAAGAGTACACCATTGGATCCGTACTCACCGTGAGTAGACACATTTAGAAAGAGATCCTATTAATAGTTTCTCTTAAAACAAAAGGGAGACTCTAAATAAGAGAGGTTGCTGAGCTAACACTGATGTGTGTCTCTTAAGGTGTTCTTCACCGTGCTGATTGGAGCGTTCGCTGTGGGACAGACCTCTCCCAACATCCAGACTTTCGCCAGCGCCCGGGGAGCTGCATATAAAGTGTACAGCATTATTGATCATGTAAGGAATGCAACATTCTTACCCAAAGCACACCTTTCACATGATGGTTTTTTTAGACATTTTTGCTGCTGGACAGTTGTCAGTTTGTATTACTGAACATGCACCGCTGTACTCTGGCACTCTGGGGAGCCACTTTGATGCAGCCGACAACCTGGAGACAGAAATGTTGGATTTTGCTCTAATTGGAGCACCTGCTGTCAGGTCATTTGGTTGATACTACACCGCTGTGGCTCTGTGAAGTTACTGTGCATGTACCTTGAGATACAATACAGTATCAGTTTTTACAAACATTGCACCCTTAATACACATGTGCAGCAGATTCCTTGTAATGGTATGTTTACCATATCTTCTGGTATCGTATCCCATCATTTCATATAAAATGTTATCTTATTTTAACTTAGTGCATTGTATCTCAGCGCAACAAATTATATTGTATTTTATTTTATCTTATCTTATCTAATTATATCGTATTTTATTTTATCTAATTATATCGTATTTTATTTTAGCTTATATCTTATCTCATTATATCGTAACATATCTTAGCTTATCGTATTGTATCGAATTTTATCTCATTATATCGTAACATATCTTAGCTTATCGTATTCTATCGAATCTTATCTCATTATATCGTATCGTATCTTAGATTATCGTATTGTATCTTATCTCATTATATCGTGTCATATCTGAGCTTATGTTATTGAATCGTATCTTATCTTATCTTATCTTATCTTATCTTATCTAATATGTCTTTGACTACCATCTGTGGAATTTAAAATGGTCTAAGAAACACAATTGAACCACTTCCGCAGTCTGGTCTCTAGTTATTCTGGGCCGTGCATGTTTATAGTTTACAGTGCGTCTGTTTTTCTTTCACAGTGACTACCCACTCAGATTAGTTTATAAGCACGGACAACATCTGTTTAAGCATGAGCAATAATCACACAGCCTAAAGCAAAACTCAAAAAGTATAAAATCTCCTCTCAGGGCCTTTTCGTTTCAAACTCAGAATTTAAGAAGAGTATCCATTCCAAGTCAAGGACTCTTGCTTCGTGACATCTGATCTAAAATAAGCAGTATGGATACCCTTTTCTGTCTAATCTTAAACACAGAAAGATGAGGCCTCCAAGAGGGACATAAAACAGTCTCACATTCTCAGTCCAAACAGAGCTAAACCATTGAGGTGGAACAGCAGTGTGTGTTTGTGTGTGTGAACGTGTGTGTTTAACCTACCTAGAGAAGCGGAAAAAACGCAAAGAGCTCACCCTACTGTGGGACAGCCTTCCTGCCTTTGTCTTATTGATGTTTTGAGAAGGATCAGGTTATTTATCCAACTGTGGCCGAACTACAAACAGGAACAGAGAGCTGAGTTTTTTAGGAGTGAAATTAAAGTTAACTTTTGTCTCAACAGAAACCGGCCATCGACAGTTATTCAGAGGCCGGCTTCAAGCCTGACTCCATCAAAGGAAACATTGAGTTCAAGAACATCCGCTTCAGCTACCCCTCAAGACCAGACATCCAAGTACGTTCACCATAGACACTGTTTATTGAACTCTTAAACACATTATTCAAACTTTATCTCGTAAATTACGTTGTTTACTTTTGTAGGTTTTAAACGACTTGTCTCTGAGTGTGAAGAGTGGACAGACCATTGCCTTGGTAGGGAGCAGCGGCTGTGGGAAGAGCACAATGATCCAGCTGCTGCAGAGGTTCTACGATCCTCAGGAAGGATCTGTGAGTGACGTTTACAAAACACTTCATTTAAAGGGGACCTATCATGCAAAATGCACTTTTGTACGTCTTTTATACATGAATATGTGTCCCCGGTGTTCCAGGGAACTCACCAAGTGTCAGAAAACACAACCCTCTCTATTTTCCTCCATACCCAAATCTCTAAAAAAGGGGCTGCAACGGATCTGATAAAAACTGATCCAGATTTGAACACTGTCCTGACGTCAGGACAGTGGCGCTACGGCTATTGGGCCAACTCCACCAATCAGGAGGAGACAGCCACGGCCATTGCCGTTCGAAAGCGCTGGAGACGCTATAGTACATATGCCAGGCCAGTAGATGGTGCTGTTCTCACAGAATCAGCCCTTGCTAAAACAGATCTAAAAAATGTCAAATTGAGCAAAATGAGGCATGGCTAAAATGCATGATCTGTTTGGTATTTTGAAAAAAAAAAAGTATAAATATGCCTTATATAGGTATGGTCCTACACTATATTATTCAAATATAACATGATAGGTCCACTTTAAATTGGATTCATTTAGTATTTGTTAGCATATTCGCTCTGCTATATTCCAGGACTTAAAATACTACTAAATCTTTTTAGCATGAACTCTCATAACATTTTGTGATTTCATTAGATCAGGTGTGACATGAACAAAAAAATCTGGGTAGAGTTTTTAGTGTTTCTGCCCATATACTTTGAATCATGTGTCACTGCAGGTACATACTGTAGTAGTTGTTTCCTGCTTCCCAGGCAGCTATTCTAATAAATCCACTTTGAGAGTCTAAAAAAGTTTTTGTAAAAAGTGTTGATTGATGAGATTGGCCACGGTATCAAATATTCGCAGCTCTTAGCGCTAAATGAAATAAGTCCCCAAAAGTGTCGACTATTTTTTAAACAATGACGAGATGCTGTTTCAGATAAATATGACTGTTATATGTGTGTTTGAATCCTGTTTTTCAGGTGACTATTGACGGGCACGACATCCGTTCTCTTAACATCCGCTACTTGAGAGAGATGATCGGCGTGGTGAGTCAGGAGCCTGTTCTCTTCGCCACCACCATCGTGGAGAACATCAGATACGGCCGACTTGACGTGACCAAACAGGAGATCGAACAAGCTGCCAAGGAGGCCAATGCATACGACTTCATTATGAGCCTTCCTGACGTATGACTGTGTTAATGACTCCCTGTTCTGTGTGTTTATCAAGATCTCCTTCAACCACTTGCTAATATTGAAACTCTTATTGTTGAGCAGACGTTTGAGACGATGGTCGGAGACCGAGGAACTCAAATGAGTGGCGGACAGAAGCAGAGGATCGCAATTGCTCGAGCTCTAGTCCGCAACCCCAAAATCCTTCTGTTGGACGAAGCCACATCTGCGCTTGATGCTGAGAGTGAGACCATTGTGCAATCTGCACTCGACAAGGTGCAAATACACAAATCCTGTTCTACCTCATCCAGAACACAGCTTTGCACTTTGATACTGACATAAAGAAAGGTAGTTAAAATCCTAGATTAATGTGGTTTACTACTTCCTTTAGAAACATATTTGGTGTGGCTTTATTGGCATTGTTGTTCTGTCATCGGTTCGCAATGCACCTGCATAGAGCCACAGTCCATAGACATTGTTACTAATATTAAGGTCTAGCAACTACAAACATGTTAGAATGTTTATAAAATTGTACGTACAATTTTTGCTCCTTTTTGTTAATCTAAGCAAAGACATAAAAACTGGGACTCATGGCTTTTTGTGTGCAGGTCCGACTCGGTCGTACCACCATCGTTGTTGCCCACCGCCTGTCAACCATCAGAAACGCTGACGTCATCGCTGGCTTCCAGAAAGGTGAAGTTGTAGAGTTGGGGAGTCACAGCAAACTGATGGAAGAAAAGGGAGTCTACCACAAACTGGTCACCATGCAGGTAAAACACACAAACTATTTATTTGGGTTTGAGTTCAAGGGAAACTTTCAGAATGGTCAGCCATATTGTTTTCCTCTCTCTCTCTCTTTCTGTTGCAGACTTTCCAGAAAGAGGAGGAGATGGATGAGGCAGAGTGTGAGCCGTCTGCTGAGGAGAAGAGCCCGTTAGTCCATACCAACTCTCGCTCCTCTCTGAAAAATAGGAAGACCACAAGAGGCTCCTCCTTCGCTGTCTCAGAGGCAGACAAAGAGGAGAAAGAAAAGTTAGATGAGGAGAAATTGGAGGAGGTGAGCTGTGCTGCCACATCTCTGGGCTTTGGGTGGATGGGTCAACATGGTCTGTGCAGGTTATTCAATACTTTAGCTGACATTTGGACAAAGGTCGGATCAGGGCTCTCCTCTTTTCCATTACAACTGTCAAGCTATCAAACTCTAGCCATTGCTTTGTGTGGTTTGAATGGCTATGATGAAAAAGAGGAAGGTGGGAGCACATGATCTTGATATATGCTGAGGATTTATTTAATCATTTCTGTAAATCCTCCCAAATCTATTACAAATATGACTTGTTTTCTGAGGAAGTATAAAGGGGTCTCTGTTGGATAGAACTTTATCCAAGGGTATCTCATATTCACAGAGACCATTCTGCATAGGTCCCCTTCTTCACATTTTGTCAGAAAAATCAGAAAAACATAACAAATTTGGATCAACAGAATGTGTTGTTCTTACTCCTCTCAGGGCTTACCTTATATTTCTGAAACAGAAAATACAGAGATATTATTAACTGTAGCAAAAATATATCAAGGAAGTCCAGGATTGCTATTCGGCGTTTCCTTTTAAGTATTATCTGTTAAGTCAGATAGTGACCCATGTTACTATGGCTTCATGTTTCTTTTGTCCCTTCTGCCTTTCCCTGCCTATGAACTATGTACACAATAACCCTAATGTAAGATTTACACCTCCTCCTCTGTTACCTAAACAATCTTTCCCTCCATATTTCCCCACATTCTAGCAGTTGTGTAATAAATGTAGTTATTTACCACAGTCCTGGAAAAAAGAGGGGAAATGCGTGTGAACGAGATGTGACTCAGCTCTTTCTGCCTTCACCCTGCTTATGAACTATGTACACAATAACCCTAAGATACAAATATACAATGTTCTTTCTCCTCTAATGCCTAAACAGTCTTTCCCTCCATCTTTCCCCACATTCTAGCAGTTGCGTAATACATGTAGTTATTTACCACAGTCCAGGGAAATGCATGTGAACGAGATGTGACTAAGCTCTTTCTCCCTCTTCCTGCAGGATGAAAATATTCCCCCTGTGTCGTTCTTCAAAATAATGCGTCTCAACATTCCTGAGTGGCCTTACATTTTGGTGGGGACGATCTGTGCCATCATCAACGGCGTCATGCAGCCACTGTTCGCCATCATCTTCTCCAACATCATCACTGTATGTTACTCTTAATATCTGAGCACCACAAAAGCTATTTGGTGGTTATTTATGTTCAATTGCAGCATTTGTCAGATGTTGAAGAAGCCCACAGACAAACTGTTTTTCCTCTTCTCAGGTGTTTGCACATCCAGATCCAGCCGTCATCAGGACAAGAGCTTCGTACTTTTCTCTGATGTTTGTTCTTATTGGAGCGGTGTCCTTTGTCGCCATGTTTTTCCAGGTATTACATTACATGTTACTTGTTATGCATGTTCACACACACTCACACGCATGTTCATTTAAGGTGCGTTCATTGCCCTCAAAGAAATAGTTTGACACTTGAAGCACTTATATGATTTCCTGCTGAGGGTCAGAAGAGAAGATTCCTCTCTCATGTCTGTACAATAAATGTAATGGTATACTGTACACAGCAGCTGTTTAGTTTAGCAGCATAACGTCTGTCAACAGGTCTGCCTTGTAGCTGTGGCTGTATATTATCTGTACAAACATGAGATTGGTGTCTACCTACTCATCTAACTCTTGGAATGAAGCTCCCAATAAGTTCCCAAAATGTCAAATTGGTTCTTGTACTATACAGTATATGCCTAAATCCAAAGAGTGTCCATTGTACTTGGTTGGAAATGTAGAAACCTTGATAGCTACCACACAGGATTACAGTAACACACACACACACACACACACACACACACACACACACACACACACACACACACACACACACACACACACACACACACACACACACACACACACACACACACACACACACGCGCTTTATCGTGATGATAGTGTTGCAGTATAAACACATGCAGGTGCTGTGACAGACGTTTTTGCCCATGTCCAGTTTTTCACGTTTTCTGACTGTAAACGTTCACAGGGCTTCTGTTTTGGGAAATCTGGAGAGATCCTGACTCTTAAACTGAGACTCGGGGCCTTCAAAGCCATGATGAGACAGGTGAGTGTAAATAACAGAAATCTGAGACCTGCACAAAGACCTGTGCTTAATTATTAATAAAACAGAGTCTCACCTCTTTCTCTCCCCTGTGCTATATCTCTTTCTGGGCTGAGCTTCATCACAAATTCAATTATTAATAAACAATAACCAAGTCAAGAAGTATAAAGCTACATCGTTTTAATTCAATAAGTTGATTGTGTTTTTAGGAAAGGACAGACTCAAACATTTTGCTTTCTTAACATTATGTATCTTTTATTTATATAGGGGAAAAACTATGATTTCCTTTGATTGTTTTTTAATATATTTGTTTCACTTAAAATGTTGTTTTCTTAAAAATGATATATCGTAGCTTTGATGGGATAAAAACTAAAGTTTTATTTACAAAATGTATGCTAAACTGATTCCAGTATGCTTTAGTGTTTTAAGAATATTATGATGATTATGCGGAAAATATTGTCACCCACAAGTTTGTCCAGCACAATCGTGATACTTCCATATTATCCCAGGCCTAATTAAAACAATGTGGCACGTAAGACATTTCTGACTGCTGTTGTTTATTTAACTTTTTTAATTACGAGTTAATGTATAGTATTTATTTTTAATACACATTTGTTTAAAGGACCTTGGCTGGTTTGACAACCCCAAAAACAGTGTTGGAGCGCTCACTACGAGACTGGCCACAGACGCAGCCCAAGTGCAAGGGGTAAGTCTCAACAGCAAACACACATACACACTCACAAAGACTAGAACAATGAATCGTCCAAGAAAATCAGGGATCTTGTCGTCTGCTTTGTTCCCACCTGCTCAGGCTACAGGAGTGCGTATGGCCACGCTGGCCCAGAATCTCGCCAACATGGGCACCAGCATTATCATCTCCTTCGTGTACGGCTGGGAGCTGACGCTGCTCGTCCTGTCGGTGGTGCCCTTCATGGCAGTGGCCGGCGCTGTGGAGATGAAGGCGCTCACTGGACACGCTACTGAAGACAAGAAGGAGCTGGAGAAGTCTGGAAAGGTAGAGATTCAGTGTGTCACAGTTCCAAGTTGTAATGACTCTTGAGCACATTGTGTTAAATCACTAGCCTTTTGATATTCTTTAGAGTACATAACATGTTTTTATGATTTGTCTCTACAGATTGCTACAGAGGCCATTGACAATATCCGTACTGTTGTCTCCCTTAACAGAGAACCAAAGTTTGAGTCTTTGTATCAGGAAAACTTAGAAATACCATTCAGGTGTGTTAGATTAATTAAACCAAATATCCAACATGCCCAATGGATATATGAACACAATTCAATGTTTATTAATATAATTGGATAAATTAAAGGAGTAATCTCTCTGATTCACTGTGCAGGAACTCCCAGAGAAATGCCCACGTGCACGGTCTCACCTTCTCCTTCAGCCAGGCCATGATCTACTTTGCCTACGCGGGCTGTTTCCGCTTTGGAGCTTGGCTTGTTGAGGAGAACAGAATGGATATTCAGGGAGTATTCCTGTGAGTAAACAGACCAAGTGACCTTTTCTTTTCTATTAATCATTAGATAAAGTTTAGTTGTTTTATATAGACTACTTGTGTTGGCGTGCAATTGTAGGTTACAGCAGATCAAAGCATTCCTGTTGGCCGGAGAAGATGTTTATATGGCTTTTAATCATTACCCCGGCCTGTAGTGTGCGAGGGGCCGCTGTGAGTGGGTTGGCTTGTAATCCAGATGACATTGTCACGCAAGACACCTGTACCTTTGGTGATGTAACAGTCACATGCGTGTTTAGGATGCTAACATGACTGTTACAAAGAGAGGAAGTCCAAAGGTCATTGCACCTTCAGCTTCTGAACATAAAACCATAAAACACAGAAACATTAACTCCTCACCCCATACACCATGTTATGCAACCTTGTGCAGTGAGTTAAGTAAGTCAATTAATTTATAATGATGCACAAGACATCTATTATAAAATGTTGATAGTCTGGAAATGAGACAAAATATCTACAGCCACACAATCAGCCGTGTGATGCTTTTCTTAAACATAACGTTGTTTTGACCTAAAACATGCTAGTGTTTGCAGGTACTGTATATCATGTTCAGTTTAGCGTGTTAGCATGATAAATGAACTAATAAGCACTAAACACAAAGTGCAGCTGAGGCTGATGGGAATGTCATGATTAGTTTTGTGTCGTTTCATGTTCATTAACCAAAGTAATGGACAAAACTAAGAGAAAATGTATCTTAAGCTTGAGAAAATGTCTTTATACATATTGGATGACTGCTGTGGAATTGGGTCATGATTTCTTAACTTCCGTTAGATATATTTAATATATCTATATGCGCTTGTAAAGCACTTTAAAAATGCTTGTCCTGTGACTGTGAAAATATGAATGATAAAACTAACGTGCATGGATTTTCTCTCCTAGTGTGGTTTCTGCTATTCTGTACGGAGCCATGGCTCTCGGAGAGGCCAACTCCTTCGCTCCAAACTACGCTAAGGCCAAAATCTCAGCTGCCCACCTCATGGCACTGATGGGCAGAGAGCCCGCCATTGATAATCTATCCCAGGCGGGAGAGTCACCGGTACATTTTAACACAAAGCCAAACCGAAAAAAACAACACTCTTGTAATACCACTCTTTAGACAGATGCTAACATATCTCTCTTTTGTGTCATCTCTTTAAACCCCCAGGACACATTTGATGGTAATGTGCAATTTGACAGTGTTATGTTTAACTACCCGTCACGCCCTGATGTGCAAATCCTGCAAGGGCTGAATCTGAAGGTGAGGAAGGGAGAGACTCTGGCCTTGGTGGGGAGCAGTGGCTGTGGAAAGAGCACCACCATCCAGCTGCTGGAGAGGTTCTACGACCCCAGAGAGGGGAGAGTGGTAAGAAGACAAATAGACGTACATACTTTGTGCAACTGGGTTAACACCTTTATCTACTGCAACTTGTGTGTTTATGGCTACTTTACAGCACTGACATGATGAGAGGAAAATAAAAACTGTCTGAAGCTGGTGTAGCATGTGTGTTTTTATCTTTACTGCACCAGCCATTTCATTTTATCTTGATGGGATTCATTCCCGTTCATACTGACAGTCCTCTGAGAATGTGTATAATTTTATAACTAAATTCACATTTTTGTTGACGTTGAAAATGAAAAGCTATTTTTTTACTACACTGAGAGAACCCTTTGCAAAACCTCTCTGTACCTGAGTATGATGATAATAAATATACTTTTATTCTAAAAGGCACACAGACATACTTAGCAACTATTTGATGACCAAAGTGGAGTATTCAGCAACTATAGATCCAAATTATCTTAGGATTTCTTGGATACCAAAAAGAAATCAGCATGTTATAGCCCCATCAATCCTTTTACAATAATGACTGCAAAATACTTTTCTCCTTCAGCTTCTGGACAATAAAAATGCACAAGAGCTGAACATCCATTGGTTGAGATCTCAGATAGGCATCGTGTCCCAGGAGCCCGTGCTGTTTGACTGCACGATAGCCGAAAACATCGCCTATGGAGACAACAGCCGCATTGCATCGCAGGCGGAGATAGAGGAAGCTGCCAAAGCGGCCAACATCCACAGCTTCATCGATAGCCTGCCACAGGTAACTGCTGAGGTTTCAGTGAGGAGATATGTCCAGACAAAGCCTGAAATTAAAGATATGTCGTTTTTGTATGAGCAGTTTTATAACTTCTCAAGGCCCTCTACTGGGCGTTTGGGAAATTGTTTCTCTAGTGGTACTTGTTTGGGCTATAGTATACTGTATGTGACCAGGTTTAGAGATATGCCGTCTGTCAATACATCTGATTTCTTCCTCCCTTTCTGAACAATGTCAGTTAATGGGATTTGTTTGTAGTGAATCTCACAGAATTTACATTACATCCATGTTTATTCAATTTAAACAAAATCAACAGAGAAATATGTATAAACTCATATAAAAGTTTCTCAAAATTAATAAATAATGGATAAATATTTCACTTTTAATCTTAATTTAAATAATTGCCTCACAACTGTCTCTCTGTTGTTTTGGTATCAATTAAATTATTCTTTCTTGGAAATGACTCTACTGTAAGATAATGTTTAAGTATTTAAAATGGAAATATTTCAGCGAGGTGTTTGTTGGCTTTTGTCTTTATTTAGCATGTATAACGATGCACCTCTCTCTTTCTGTGTTGAGCAGAAGTACAACACTCAGGCCGGTGATAAGGGAACGCAGCTGTCAGGTGGTCAGAAGCAGCGTGTAGCCATAGCCCGAGCTATCCTCCGCAACCCCAAAGTGCTGCTTCTGGACGAGGCCACCTCCGCACTCGACACTGAGAGTGAGAAGGTAAGTGTTACGAGCACCAAGACCAATGAGCAAGAAAATGGGGAGAACTGGCGTTTTACCAGAAAGGTCCTTTTAGATACAGTAGATTGTGCCTGGGAGATGGGCAGCAAAGAAACGTTTCATATACACAAAATGACAGAACACATCACAAACAAAACGTAACAAAAAAAACAGACACAAACAATACAGGAATTGTACAGCAACAGTCTTAAGCTTAAGCTCTTAAGTTATTCAAAATTACATACAATTGAATGTGCATTATCCCTCCACGACACAGGAAGTATTAATAATTAAAATCAATAGAGAAAGATGGAACAAGCCACGCCTTTCTCCAAATGTTTTTCTATAAGTCCATGTGATCTCACTGTCATCATGCTGCTCTTCCAGGTGGTGCAGGAGGCGTTAGACGAGGCCAGTAAGGGCAGGACGTGCATCATTGTGGCCCACCGTCTGTCCACCATCCAAAACGCAGACCGCATCGCTGTCTTCAAGGGAGGAGTGGTGGTGGAAGAGGGGACACATCAACAGCTGCTGGCCAAAAAGGGATTCTACTTCATGCTGGTCACCACACAGATGGGACACGGGAGGAAATAAGAGGACATAAGAGAGCAATACAACACTGATGTGTCCGGAAATATTCATGTTTCCCTGTCCTGCTTTAGTAGAGCAATGAATGTGATCATCAGACAAGTCAAAAAGCCAAGTCAAACTCCTGTATGTGTATGTATGTGTTCATTAGCTGTCACTTCTAAGGGCCTTTTTCACAGGAGATATCATTTGATATGTGACAGTAGGAGATGTGCAGATGTTAATAAGATCACAGATACTTGTATTGTGCATGCTGGCTTACTGAATATTTTTAGTAACACCTGCTCTTCTACTATCACAAGTCAAAATGTCTGCTGTTTTTTCCCCCCAAGTTTGTGCCTTGAACACATGGACTCCTGTTTTCCTTTCTTTATAAAAGGTGGACCTACTTGTTGCCAATACGCCTTAGCTGTTGATTTCTGGTGCCATCTTCTGTTAAGCGTTAAATACTACTGATGTAGAGAGATTAAAGATAGCGATACACTGGATTTATTATGCATGATAGGGCATTAAGTATACATCTGACACAGGGATCATCTTTACAAATGTTCTACAGGATATGTATTTGAGCGATTTTTTTTATAATTACTATGTTGATTGTCATGATGGAGAGTATCTTTTGTGTTAATAGTTGAATATAAGTGCCTAAAAAAAGAAAAATATTGTACACACAGGGCTGTTCAGAGTTTAATTTTTTTATTGTCACACTTTGGTTGCAACCACAAGGAATCCTATTGTTTCTACAAATGCAAGGAAGGACTAACCTTCTTGTAAAACTTGCCTTTATGTAACTATTAAAGTTTTTTCATTCAGTAATTGAATCATCCACTTACTTCAACATCAGATTACAGTTCGCAACTGTAGTTGTCTAAACAACTACGCAACATTTCCAAGATCAAATACATTTATCATTTTGAATAATAAAACAAAAGTATTAAAAATGTTAATTATTAAAAGGTAGGGTAGGTAAGTTTGAGAAACCGGCTCGAGATCGCTAGAATTTGAAAATACACAACCGGAGAAAATCTGCCGCTTCCTTACAGAGCACATGACCAATGAGGGCACGAGATAAGTTTGTGCACAGATGGAAGGCTGACAGGCAGGTAGGCCATCCAGTTATTTTAGCCGGGCCGGCTAAAATGATTGGTCGTGCTTTTTACAGTATTACGGCTTCCACAGATGAACATTTTTATGGATTTTTTGTCAAAGCACTTAAGATATTCATTGTTATCGGGATGTTAAGAGCATTCCATGGAATATAACAAAAAGTGTATCTCGAGCCGGTTTCTCAAACTTACCTACCCTACCTTTAAGCTAGTGTTCATTGTATGTTTAAATGAAGTACAATCTTATTCACATTTTGCTATTTCCAAAACCTTTGTCAACACAGACAGATTTGTTTTTAAATGCAGAGGAAATGAGGGGATGGAAATCACAGTTTTTTGGGCTCATTCACGTTTTACAGCAGCAATCCTAATATACATTCGTATTAACATTTAGCAATCTCAAGCGTGACGTACAGATAAAGGAAAGCTGCATAGTGTGTAGGCTTTTTGAGGTGCAGTGACCAAGCAAGTAAGGCAACCATAAGCAAACCAAAACGTTTCAACATCAATAGATCTGAAGGCCACTCTTAGTTTCCAAAAGTCAAACTGAAATTTGATGGTTTGATTAAAAAGTGGAAGCTAGCTAAATGGTACGTTACTTCCTGCATAGCTTGGTAGTGTTAGCCGTCTTTCCTACAGTATATAGGGTGAATGCAGCTAACAGCTTAACCATACCTGTGTTGCCCACTACAACTATCAACACTGTAATTCCTATCACGATTTTGATTGTAGGCAAACATCAAAACAAACAGTAAGACCATATTAACTGATTTCTTCTACAAAAATAATTTCAGTCCAACTTTTAAAGTTATGTGCTATTCTCTAGATTTTTACTAATCCATAACATGAAACAAATCAATTATATTTAACTTATAAAGTTATTTTTAATGAGTTAAATCGGAATGCATAATTGCAAAATAATTAAAGGACAACAACTAAAAGAAACAGAAGCTATTTTCTTCAATTGTCCATGGCTCACAGCGTCTGGTAAATATTTACCTCCTGAAGAACCAACACCATAAAAAGGTCTTGAGCCATAGCATTAGCTTATCTTAAAAACGGATTAATACTGTCAGAATTTTAAATGAAACATTCTCCAAAAAATGTACACAAGAATCATAAAGATTTACACTAAAAATTATAAATCAGTACATGAACCAGAAAAGCTGATAAGATTTTATTGAATGCCCAAACCAGTGGCTATCAGCAGATCAGATTCATTAACTTTGCATTGATCCGTGCTCTGAACAAACATGACTATCGCTAGCTGTCGGCTATTACCAGTGTTGGTAAACCGTGAGGTCAATAAAGTTACTTATAGCTGAGATGTGGTGGCCAGGTGGAGCATCTCATGCATGGAGCTGGAGAAGTTGTTGAACAGAGTCGCAGCGTCTGTCTCACGGCAAGAGTTCCACGCCGAGACAGAGACCACGATCCTGGGGAGAAATAAGGCAGAGTGTGGGTATTATTGAAATCGCTGAAAATGCAGGGAGGCTACGCACAAATGTTCAACTTTTAAGGTAAAAACTATGTAAATAAACATATTCAGTTGAATGACAAAGATGCACATCATTAATATTTCTAAAACGTTTTTTCAAGAACTAGGAAAAGCAGTTTATAATTTAGCAAATAATCTAATTAATAAAACTAATTAATCTTGTGTTTTAAAAGGTTGCTAAAACATTACAGTTGGAGCAGAACGATTTTCAGAAGAAAAAACAGCATTATGGAAACATGCGTATAAGCCTTAACCCACCTGTCGTCTCTGATGCGATAGAAAAAGCCGTAGCCGTGGTGCACCATGGGAGCCGCGGCCCCCATAACTGTGGTGTAGCCCACCAGGCTGGACGACAGCACGAAGTTACCACCTCCACCGCTGCAGACATAAACACAAGTCAGACAGAAAGAACTCCCAAACAATACTGCAGTTTTTCCTTATTAGGACATTGTCAATGTGCTTTTCTTTCTACGACTATGTAAAATATATGTTGTAAAAAATAATGGAATTTGGAGATGGGCATAGTGGGTCATCTCACTCCGTAAATTAAAAGAATATGTTTTAAAAACAGCATAGACACACACAGACACAGATTTACAGGTAGTACCTCAATGAGTAAAGGGGATCCATGAAGAGGTCTGGAGTGGGAAGTCCCTCCTCTCTGGCGATAAGATACAGCCCAAGAAGATGCCTGTCAAAACCTGGAAACATTGTCAGAAAATGACACAGATAAATATTTGAGACACAAGCGTCAGAAAACAACATGTGACCCTGATCATCCAAACATTAATACTCCAATTTATAAATAAAAGATACCAAGACGCATTTTATCGTGACAGGAAAACTGAACTAACCTTGTCCATCCTGGGCTTCAACCATCAGGTTATTGTGCGTATTGAAGGCTGCCAGCATGGCTTTCCTCCTGCTACCAGCCTAACAGAAAAATAAATGGATGTACCCTGTAAAATGAGCAAAAGCCTGATTTTGCCACAGTGCAGAGTTTCAGACGTGTACTTACATCACACGAGGGGTCCATCATGGCTTTACACCAGTTGACAGCCTCCTGGGTGCAGGGTCGCACCGTCTCCGTCCGGCCGTGGTAGAACTTGCGAGTCATTGCGGTCTCATAACAACTGCCCGGCCTGTGAAGGTTAAGGAGAGAAATGAAGGGCCTTTCACTTCTTGGACATCAAACATCAGTAAACACATGGTACTATTTTTTGTATCATCTTGTACCTTTTGTGCATTCGCTGGAAGGCCAACTGCTTTGCTAGTTGTACAAAAGTGTCTGGGTGCAGCTTCTTCTGTTTGATGGCATCTTTTCCAAACGCTGTGAAGGCGTAACACACAATCTGCAGGTCCTGTGCCTGAAAAACCACGACCCACACGGCTGTGACTAAGTGATTCTGCATCAAGCTTTTTCTACTACAGTTTGGTGTAATCCTGGCTCACCGTCTCCAGGTACTGCTGTTTGGCGTGGCGGATGTCACTCCGGACTTTTTCGTCCACAGTAAACACCAGCTCCTCAGGACGGTGCACGGCTCTGACTGCCTCTGATCCCTTCAAAAGCATAGACATCGTTATGTGGAGAGTTGACATATACATTTAAATTGAACCACCAAGAACTATTTAAATGGATGTAAAAAATAAAGTAATAGTCAATATTTACCTTCCATTTGCCTTCTGTAGCTTTGATTTGCTGGTCCAGATACCAACACATAGACACCAGCACCATGGCATCAAAAGGTGCATGCTGCAAAAAAACTATCAGTGTTATGAAATCTGTTTTTTCTTATCTTAATGATAATGAAATCTTTCACATACAGTATACATGTGTCATATAGTGTTTCTCAGATTTCCTTTAGCATGACACACGTATACAAACTCACATCACAAGTGGTTCCAAAGGTTCCATCTGCGAAGCTGAGTGAGTTGTACGATTTGTCGCCCCAGCGGATTGTGGGGTCGCCTGTAAGGGCCGCCGTGGTTATCTTTGTTCAGAATTTCAAAGTCACGCAATCAGAAACAACTCATTCCTTGAAAAGATATATATAAATTCTAGTGAACAATAGGTCATACAAAGTCAAAAATATACTTTGTGATGCTCTTACATTTGTGTAGTTCATTGGAGAGGAGTAGGGTTTTGTTTCATCCAGAGATAAGACGAACAGGCTGCTCTGGATGGTCTCCAGGATGTTGCTATTGTGTGGATCAATGCTTATTAGATGCTCCCTGGTCTGCAGAGAAAGATAAATACTGACAGTACTGACTCAACTATGCTTTTGTAATATAAGAACTGTTTTAGATCTCATTAACAAAGATGGACACCTAAATATTGAAATGTGAACACCCATACCTGCGCCCAGCGAGTCCTCTCTTCTGAGGTGAGGGCCGACACTCCGTCTCCCTCTGGTTCCCCCTCACAGCACTCTTTCACATAGCTCAGCTGCCTGTACATCAAATAAAACAAGGCAACATTGAGCCCTCTATGCTTCTCAATCACCTAATAGAGGCTCATAGTTTGATCAAATACCTTTTTAATACCACACAGAATGCAATTTTAAACATTTTAAACAAATAAAGCGTCATTAAATGTATTTTTTAATCCAATTATTTCAGTACTTCCCAGGAGTATATAGCATTAACCTTTCACAGCTAATTATGAATTATATGTTTATGGATTTTGATCAATGATATGATCAACTTGGAACCCAGTACAAAATGGATAGATTCATTAAAGAACGAAAAATAATTACCCGGTTTTAATTAGTACAAGTTCTTGCTGGAATTAACACCGGTTTCCCTGTTAACACAATTAACACATGTTTCCCTGTTGCTTCTGTAATACAATTATTTTAAATTCCTGCTGCTCTGGGGCACAGTAAAAACTGTTATTTTTTCATATATATTTCTTACTAGGACAGTTAAGATTCTGACTAATGGTGAAAATGTATACTCACATCTCTAAAAATAGAATCAAATGAATTCAAACTCAGTGGTAGGATGTGTACTGTTCCTCCATGTTTTATCAGAAGTACATTTAGCACTATCAGCAGCAGTTTGTTCATGGACGGACCTTTCAACCCTCCGTTGTTCTGTTGAATGTTGTTTGTACTTGTGTGTATATCACTACCTGAGTATTTCTGGAGGAGTGAGGATTTGTCCATCACACACTGCATCAAATGTGAACATCCGTCCACGACACATCACCACCACATGGGAAGGGCACGGCCCCTCACTCTCTGTGGCAAGGAAAAAAAACGCACAAAAACAACGGTTATAATAAAAAGCTGAGAAATTGTGCTAAAGCTATCGGAGGTGTGTCTGAAGGCTCTAGATAAGATAAGATTATTTCTACCTGTCTTGAAGTAGTTACGGATGGTGTCCTTCTTCACTCCAGGTACTTTGCAGGTGCAGAACAGCATTCTGAACTGGTCCATATCTAACGGTAGTTTGCCGGCTTTCTGAGGATGCAGCCTCTCCCTAAAAGGAAAACAAAACAACACATTTCATAAATACCCCATTTCATATAAAAAAGACCAGCTTTTGATTAACAAAACACAAAAACACAGCTTGTAAAAATGTGTTTGAACAAGTCTTACGTGCGGATCAGGTTCCAGTACTGTAATGTGTGCCATGTGCTAATACTAGCCCTCTGCAGCTGAGATCCCTCTTCGGGGAGCCAGCAGTGCTCCAGGTAGGGCCCCGGGCCGGCAAAGTTCACATTCAGCTGAGATGGGATGCGAACCTCCAGATACGCAACATCTAACCACCATTCTTCCAGCTGAGGAATGTTATTTTTGTTTAAAAAACATATAAGTAAGGATGAGTAAAACATCTAAGACTGTAGCACCCAAAAAATAAATGACAGATTCATTACACACCCAATTCCTGTTTGTTCTGGCTTTCTGCAGTAGCTTTTGGTGCAGCTCTTGGCCAACACCCTCTTGAAATGTATTCACAATGTCCAACGTAGCCTTAAACTCTTCCTCAGATGCAAATGGACGAACTGATGGAGACATGGCAATACAAAATAAGTCAGGTAAGAGCCTCAGCTGCTGGTCATTGTGAACATTAGGCATTTGTTATTGTAAAAACTGAAGATTTCATGAGCTTGCGTACATTTGACAAAATGAGAACATATGCAACAATTATACACGCAAGCTAAAACATGTGTATGCTGTTATAATATTAAGAGTTTGACATGATCAAAACACCTAAAAGTTGCACATTTTCTTTTCAAATAGTGAGTAAATTCTGAAACAGAGGAACTTGTGACACAGCAGGTTGTTCAAAGTTACTATCCTACCTGCATTCAGGTACTTTGAGAGGCTGGTCTCCAGTGATGGGACCGGCAGGGATGGCAGGGCGTCTTGGTGCTGGAAGGTCGTCTCTGGGGGAGCCTTTGACAAATGATTATCCATTTCTTCTCCCTGGAAGGAATTAAGAATGGATCAATAAAACAAACATCTGTAATAGTTGTGTCCTACATCAGAGGTTTCAGATTATCTACAACATAACTTTAGATCTGAAAACTGCGCGTCCAGTTTCTATGACTATAGGATAACGTTTAAGTTGTACAATATGCCTGTAATTCAAATGCGCAGCTTTATAATTTTTCTGTAGAATTGTTTGCAGGGTTTCATTCATATTACACATTGGTTAACTGGTAATTAAATACATATAATCTGTGCAACATTGTGAAGAATATATAAGGTTAGACCAGGGGTGTCCAAACTGCGGTCCGTGGGCCATTATGAATCGGCCTTCAGCTAATTCTGAAAGTATAATGAAATATGGCCCACAAATTAAACTTGTGCTTGTCTTATATTGTACTTTGTAAATATATATGTAAACATATATTACACAGTATTCATGTGTTAATAAGCCCACTTTTTAAATAAATTCAATCAATTACATTTGAAAACATTTTCTAACAAATCTAGCTTGATAATAAAAAAAGCCCAATAACTTCTTTGTATAACAAGCGTGAAATATACTCTTCATATTTCCCCTAATTATTAGCAATCTGAGGCTCCTGTTTTAAGGAATGGGCTGCTAACAAAATAAATGAAACCCTATGGAGAGCTGGGATGTAGGCTGTTTTTTCTTAAAGCATAGTCAAGTAACAAGCATTACCATTACCATTGTGTTGTCTGATAACAAACACCGTTAGCTATTTCAGCATCAAGAAAAGTACTTTTCACTTTGCAGCCAAACATGGACATAACTTAAGTATCAAACCAACTACTTTAATCTAACTTTTAGAGTGGACTTTGCACCCTAACTCAATAAATGATTAACGTATAGTTGGTGCAACAGGCTGCTTTTGCACAACATAAACAAAAGCTTTGAATTTCATTGTGACTGATAAACATTCACATGTTATCCCACAGTTCCAAAGTGCTTTAACGCGTTGCTGAGCTGTGTTGCTACATGAAACAAACTACGTTAATTTATAATCCTCCTTCAAAACCACGAGACTCAAGAAAAGTTGAGTTACTTAGCTTTCAGAGCCCTAGGTAATGGAAACACGGACTGCTAAACCGCTTGTTGAAAGCAGTCAGTTTGGGAGTTTTTACTTGTTTATTCATGCAACAGACCTAACTGTTTCCAGTGAGCAAGCAAACGATTATAGTCACATCGCATTAGCTACTCTCGCCTGCGGATATTGTCAACAACAATAGACATGTTGTGAGGGGTAAACTTGGTTTAACGACACAGTTCCTAGCTTTCCAACACAATGCATATCTTAGCTCACCTTCTTCAGGATGAGTCGACTTTGCTTACAGTATCAACGCACAGCAGAAATATCTGTAGTCCGTGTGTTTATGTCCGTAGCAACAGCAGCAACGGTCCTGTTACCTTTACCCCACTAAACCCATCCGGAAGATCCCACTGCGCATGCGCGAGATGGTGGCACTTGACCTAGATTTAATCAGTGAAACAATGATGAGGCACTGATAGTGAGCTGTTACAGAGGTGACAGGGCTTTGATTTAATGAATGAAATCCAATTATTGCAGTTAGTCTTTATATATGTGCGGTAGAGATAATGTATAGACAGACATAGTTTCAGTAATTAAGAATAAATAAATAAAATAGATATTTTAACCCCTATTTCCAAGCTCAATGTGAACAAGAAGTAGGCTTACAACTAAGATTTACATTTCATGTGACCTCGAATTGCTAGCACTGTATTAAAGTGTAACCAGAGAGCAGTGGTAACTGGGCAGTTTCTGCAGTAGATATTTATAATTTAACCCAATACAAGATGCAATGGTGATTGAAACATGTATCACCTGTGATGAAGCAGAGCACAGTCAAGAGGGGAGAAGCATGCATATACAATATTAGCATACTCAAGCTACAGATTGTACAATGGTCTTTCAACTAACAGAAGAGAGACATTGCCAATTTGATCACATTTTCACTTTTAGTATGCGTTTCACATTTATCTGAAAAATGAGACTGGTATCTGTTTTGCTTGCTTTGATCATTCCCCTTCATAATACCTAATTACATTACTTACTTAAGTGCTTCCAATGTACAGTAAGTTAAACAAAATCTACAGTCTTTGTTCTGTTGCTAAAATACTCTCAGTTGCCAGACTATTTCGTGCACCATGCCAAAACTAAAACAGTCCTGCTATAAATCATGACTTGATGAAGGTCAGAAATGTGTTGGTTTAAATGTGTGTTCATTTTGGAGGATGTCGTTTTTGTTTCTGTTGAATTTGTATTCAGTAAGGTGTTAGGGGTTTCTATAATTGTGACCCCCTTCGTTATATCAATGAGGGTAGGCTGAATAACAACAACAAAAGACAAACCATAAACAGTGCTCAAATACGTTTTATTTTTGACATTTAACAGCATTGAGTGGTGAGATGAAGAATCAAGCTACATTTAAAAGTGAATGTGTTTTGCTGGTAACACGTGATGACAAGTTTAAACTACATCTACTAAGTCAGTACAAACAGAAATGAGCAAATGTAATATTTCTAACTTTAAAGGATGCATGGAAGTTGTTCAATTAGTAATCCATTAAAAGAAATTAAAAATACATGAAATACAGCAAATTTGAAATTACCCTTGTTCCTGCATAATTGTAGACTCTGAAAACAGAAGGCTACGTGCTATGAGGAATATCTGCATTGTTTCAGTTATTGCGTTAGTAGGCTGTCCTCTTTTTGGGTTAATCATGCCTCTTCTGTTCATTTCAAGCTTTACAAGCCATATTTGCTAATGACTTCCTTTGCAAGTGCAATGTAGGCCGACATGGCATCCTCCTTGGACTTTTCTGAAAGATATTTGGATTAAAATACAACATTTTAATATGATTCAAGATTCAAAGGTTTATCGTCATAACATATACAACTACGGTGTAGTTATTTCATGTATGAAAAACAGGTTCCTCAACAGTGCAATTACAAGACATAGAAAAAAATTGTATAAAAAATAAACTAATGTTGCTTGTTTTCTAGCCCGCTTTACACATACAAGAAATTCTTTATAAGTTACCTTTCCTAGAGTTCCAGGCATCCCACTTTGCTTTTCCTTTGAAGTCCAGCATTCCTGGTCTTTCTGCAATTGTGACATGACACAGGGAGTAAGGAAATGTTCAGAAATTCGGGAACATTACATGGAAGTGATTCTGAATCGGAAGTCATACCGGTGTTAACATCTCCAACTGTTGCCTGCTTATAAAGGCCATAGAGGTCCAGCAGCTCCTGGTCTGTAGGCCTCGTCTTCACCTTCTTCACATCCTCTGCCAATTTCTCAAACTCTGCCTGCAGATAACAAATGTTCCCATAGCCACTCATTATATTACTGTTATCTTATTCAATGCTAAGCTATCACTTCTGCACTGATATAAAACACTTATCTTCTTTGCCAAGTCTGACAGATGAATCAGTTTAAGGAATGTGCATATTAATAAGTTACAAACAACACTGCTTAAAAATCTGAGCATAGTGTTGTAGTCATGGTGCACAGCCCGGGAGACCTTTTGTTTCACAAGTTTGAGTTAAACAATGGGCTTTTTATTCGACACTCTAGAGCTTTGTGCCTACTTGAATAATCTCCTTTACAAAAGATCTAGCACATTGCAGAACAGATCCTTAAAGATAGGAAAGGTGAACACCATAAACTCTAAATATTAACCTCCAAACCTTTAATAGGAGTCGAAATGGTCATTAAAAGTGAAATATTTTCCAGCTACTAAATGTAATAAGAGAAAACTCCTTTCTATAATTACTTATATTTAAAATACTTTTTATTTGGCTCGTTGTTTAAGCAATCTGCTTGCACTAAGAACCAGAGAATAAATATGTTAAGACTCATTTGTATTACATTAACTCATCCCACACCGACAAAGATGGTTGACACACACTAGTATGACTGGAGTGAACACACCCTGTCGCTACAACCGTTCTTTATTTAAATGCGATAAAGCGTCTACGAAACACTTCCGCATACAATGGAAGTGGATTTTTTTTTACCTGAGAAGCCATTTTTGCAGATGCAGTCTAGAGGTCCAGATGAATTTATGTCTGCTGCTGTCGGCTGGATGGACGTCTCTGCGCAGCTGTGAATACCATAGCCTGTATTATGCAATATATGGGCCATGGACCGCCCTGCGGAGGAGGGAGTAGAGAGAAGCCGAGCAGCTGATTGGCTGTCACCTCCCCCCCGAAAAAAAACATAAGACCTTTTGAAAATTCGAACTTGTTTTTAATGTAAAAGAAACCAAACGATTTTTACATTAACTAATTTGAAGAGTAATTCACATTATCATCTCATAACAAAATAAGCTAAGGCGACTACTTGCATTCGGTAGTTCATAAAAGGAAAACCAGGGAAATGTTTTGTTTTGCGGTCCATATCTCATTAAAATATCTAATGTTACTAACTATTAAAGAGAAAATGGGGACAATTCTGTTTTAATGTAGTTTGACCATTGTAACTGCTGTGCAGACATACTGATAAAATAGGGCTTCTAACTAATTACCTTAAATAAACTCACTAATTAAACCAGTTCAATACGCATTATTCTTATTCTTACCATTCTTTATGAGCGCAGTAACGGTACGGTATCTAATTACTTATTTATTTAGTATTCCATAACTTCATAACAGAGATGGTCAAACTGAAGTAGAGACATGGCAGAAATCCTACAATGAAGCGGGACAGTGAAGTGTTCTCCTGAGAGAGGGCGATCAAGAGAAGAGAGAGAGGGTGAGGGAGTTTACAGATGAAAAGACACAGAAAGACAGAAGCACAATAACAAGTATATTTAGGTGTTTTTTTGTAAATAACAGACGGTGTCAAGAGGAAGATAAGTCCCCTGGTTTGTCGCCTATACTCTAACTGCCATGAGAAAACTCAAAATCAATTTTCCAAAATCCGACACTAGAGGTGGTCTTTAACGCACCGGCAGATGACAGCGCTGACAAGGTGTGCCACAACCATAGACTGTATATATAAAGGCCACAACAGAACAAAAATAAAAATAAACTCTCGCTCTCTCCAGAGGGGCAGGTCAGGGCAAACGGGCCCTTGCCCGGGCAACAATAGCCCGTACCTGTGCACGTCCCTGCACACACACACACACACACACTCATTCATTTGCGTGCACGCACATGTCGCACTTTCACTCGAACGCTGGTCGGCGCTGTTTGTCTTGTCCCTTTGTTAATAAAGTTATTTCAATTCAAACAAAATGGCAGCGCCCTATGATCAACCACCCGTGTAGTTGGACTGAACCGAACATCAGTTTAAAAAAAAGTAACGTGCTGCATTAAAATTCAGGTAAAGTAACCTAACGTCTCTTTTGTTTGTCAGGCATGTTGTCGACTGTCATATTGTTAATGCTGTAATAATAACAGTAGCCGGTAAAACTTAAGAGAAATTATTTCTTAACTCTTGTTAAAATATTACATTGCACCATCAATAATCACAACTGAAACAATGACATATTATTTAAAGGCAACATTATTATAATATTTGTATTGTTTATTATTGTTTGTACTAATATGTTTGATAAGAATCCCTAAAATATGGGCAGTAAAGATTTGTAACGAGGAAATGGTCAGTTTTTGTTGTTGTAGGGACTTGTTATCATTACCATTCATACTTCGATGTACTGCTTTTTATTAATATTAGTTTATTTTATTTGTATTTAATCTTAATGTTGTGTTCCTGTCAGTATTGCAAACCAATTGCTATAAAAATAAAGATGATAATTTTTGGATTTGGTTCATTTATATTTGAAAACAAACTTATGGGTGCTCTCTGAAGGAAACACTATAAAGGAGAAACTCTAAATATCTTTGGCATGTCTGGGATTTCTTATTACTGATATTGACGGGGTCTACCTGTAAAAGGGTTTCTTCATCACTTTTTTCTTGTCTTTATTTCAGAGGTATGGCTGCTGCGGGTAAGCCATCAAAAAAAGAAAGCAAGAAGTACATTCCGACCAAGACCTCCTTCACTTCACCATTCACTCCAAAATGGGGCCCACTCCCCCAAGAAGACATGCATTTTATCCTGAACACAGTGAAGGACAAGCTGGTTTCCATGGGCCTTGAGAAGAAAGAGGTGAAAGTGTTTCGCCCGTGGAGGAAAAAGAAAGACCCGAAACCTGCTGCCACACCAGAGCCTGTTCCCCAGGTCAGTGAGGTGCAGGTGAAGGCTGCTCCTAAAAACGGCTGGACAGATGTGGCAGCTAGGAGACAACTGGCCATCGGGGTCAACGAGGTCACCAAAGCTCTAGAGAGGAACGAGCTCAGACTGTTGCTTGTGTGTAAGTCCGTGAAGCCTAAACACATGACGGACCACCTGATCTCGCTGAGTGCAACGAGAGGTGTGCCGGCCTGCCAGGTGCCTCGTCTGAGCCAGAGCGTGTCGGAGCCGCTGGGCCTGAAGAGTGTCCTCGCTCTGGGATTCAGACATTGTGCCTCCAAAGATGACGAGGTGTTCACTGACACTGTTGAGGCCATTACACCCAGAGTGCCCTCCCTGGATGTGGCATGGCTACAAGGTGCATCACCCAGAGTAACATCTGTAGACCCTGTTGATATGGAGGAGAAGGAAGAAGATGGCCAGAAGAAGGGCCAAAAAAGGAAACTAGAGAGTGAAACTGTGGCGGTCACAGAGTCTACCTCCTCCTACACTCTGCAACCTCTCAAAGTAAAAAAAATAGTTGCCAACCCTGCAAAGAAAATAAAAAAGGCTATTCAGCGTAAAACAGACTCTGCCTAGATATAAAAAAGACCATTCCTATGATTTTGCATGTTTAGTCTGAGTTGTATCTTGGATTTTTAGCGGCCTGAAGAGTATAAGAAAATCTCACCTCCTGTGTGAATCAGGTGTTTCAGATCAATTGCTAAAACTAAAAATATCACTAGTTTTAGTTTTATTTTGGATTTTCCTGACATATTGGTCAGCCATAGGTTTATAATCATGTTTGCCAGGACTTGAAACTGGCTTGAGATAATTGTGTAATTCATTACAAATAAAGAAGTTGACATGTGTTGGAATTAGCAACCCTGAGAAAAGTAAGGCTCTGTTGTGTTCCATTGAAATTAAAGTATCAATCGACCGGTTGCTGCATGGAGGGTCGGAAAAGTTAAGTTATTTAGTTTATCATCTAACTGGCCTGCCGTTTACATGACTTAAAATCACTTCTTTCAAATGTTAGGAACTGGTATGACAAACCGATTTTTTTTGGGGTGACATCTCATTAGCCAGAAACAGGCATAACATAAGATGTTTTTGTGTTTCTGAATTAAACCAACTAAACTGGGTGAGAATTATTAGTTGTGTTCTTTAGTAAATATGACTGTCAAACATTTCAGACCAAAATAAAGAAAATGTTTTTGGGCAGTCTATTTAATATTTCAAACAAAAGTGCATTACTCCTGTCCGTTTTTAAAGTGAGTTTATTCAATCAAATATCCATGCTGGTATAGCCGACTTGTGTTGAAACAGATTGTTATTTGCATGGGGATCATGTCTTAAATGATGCTGGTAAAGGTTCTTCAGCTTTTTCACAGCTTACAATGGATTTGAATAAAAAATATTGTTCTTCAGTTAGAGAAAGCTGTATGTCATTTCAAAAGTACCCTCCTACCCAGAATTCTTAATTTAAAAAACAAAACATCTTTAAATAAGGCAGGTACTTCGGGTTGAGTTCTCACTAAAGGGCGTGGCTCGTAACATCAACGCTAAAAATCACAGCAGCAAAACTGACATGCTCGAAGTTCATTCAAACAGCTGCAGGCAACACATCTGTGACACAACCAACATCCATGAGGCACGTCGTTGACTCAGTGTTAAATAAAGCCGATAACATCTGTCTTTGTCAACTCATTGAACCTTTCAATTGTTAAAAAAAACACATCTTTGAGCCCTGAAGCACTGACTGTCCATCGGTTGTCCCTTTCTTGCTAATATATAAAGGAATGAGAAAAGAATTACATCACATACAGAAAAGGTAACCACAAAGATGGCAGCAGCCTTTACCTCTTGTGTTATGCAGAGCCACATGAACAGGAGCATCAAACACAAAGTAACAAACTCAGAGCAAGACAATAAAACAAAAATAATGTTAACCTTTGAGTACCGCAGCAGCTCCGGCCCAGAACAAGTGCTCTATCCGTTTTTCATCAAAGATCTCCATCGCTCAGTCAAGCACAGGGCAACGCTAAATACTCCAAACCCTCAAAAATCAGTTTCAAAGTTTCCTATTAAACTGAAAAATCTTGCGGGGAAAAAACAGGAATTGTCTTAAGACATGTTGCAAAGTACAATTATAAATACCAGAACTGTTCAAATAATTTTCATTTAGCTGCACAACACATTAAAAAAATGACCAACAGTATATTTTTCAGACACACAAAAACAGTACCATTTAAAAAAATAACCTGGAAAAGTTCAAATTTCAAATCGATGCGCTTACTGACACAGGCTTTTGTTTATCCAGCCACTGTGCTCTGAAAACATGCTGTTTATTCTCCAGATACTTTACATGTTGTGATCAGTTCTATTTGTCATACTTAACCGAGTTAAACATCCTACATCAAGTGAAGGAACTGATGGTTTATTTACCTTTAATCAACAGAAATGTTTAAGTGCTGTATTTCTTGCAAAAGGCAGCTGAAAGTAAGAAGCAGTTTCTCTGTGAGTGGCAATGACTAACTTAACAAAAGAAAACTAACCTTGGCTGCTTTCTAGAAGACTTAACTGGGAACAATTTTCAAAGTAGGTAAGCCATAGTTCTGCTTTAAAAGTGTCTCTGGACAATAACAGACTGTTTTTGATTTTATTTTTTGATTAAATCTGAATCAGGCTGAGTCCACTCTGGTTGTAGTTTAATAGTTTTTTGTTTCTCTGCCCTGCTTTTGCACTCAGCGTGTCATCCTATTTTTTTTAGGCTCAGTAACTTTTGCTTCCTTTTTAACTGAACAACACATATTTCACATGCAGGTTAAACCCTATGCCGAATATACATATATGTTTTATTAAAATCAAGTCTAGAAGCTGGTTTATAACAAGAGCTCACATCCCTCGTAAAAACCAAGGTTGTACATGTAACGCAACAAATCTGTTTTGAAATCTGACCCTTTAAAAAAAGGGCTCTTTTGCTTGTTAGGAACTCAAAAATTGTGCTTCATTGATGCAATACATTCTTCATCAAAAACCACTTTAAACCAACGTTGTCTGAACAAACTCAGTGACATCTACACTACCTATGAGGAGAACACTTTGGATCAGCCCTCCCAAACCCCAAAACTCACACTACAGGAATAAATATGATCTGGCTTTAAATGTACAGGTAACTATATTTTTAACAAAAAAACATGTACATAAATACACCAGTTGAATGAGTCCTTTCACGAAGATATCCTTTTTGTGTATATGTGTGTTGTTTGACAGTGTTTGTATGAAAAGTTGATTTTTTTTTTTTTTTTTTAAATGCTTGATGAAAAGTGTTTTTTTCTTCTATAAGTCAGCTATCACAGAAACACGTTCTTAGCATTTCTAATTCTACTGAGGGCCAAAACAGCCAGCAGATAACCTCTGACCACAAAGATGGATAATAACGTGTTAAATGCCTTGAAGACCCTCAGTGGGGACACAATAACTTATCTTTATGTATTGTGGTCATGTTTACTTTGTTGATTATCATTTACATAGTTCAATGTCAGTGAAATAAAAAGACATGCCAGTCCATGGTAACGAAGCTTCTGCTCAGGAAAACAAAATTCACAATGTCAAGGCATCCTCTTGTATGTTTTAAATGTGAGTGTGCATGTCAGGAGCGTTGTACTGTATGAGTTTCTCAGGCATAGCATGACTTCACATTCAGGATGTTGATGATTTTAAGAGTTTTCACCTCCAGGTGAAAGCAGAATGTTTTTTGAACCGTCTTCCGGTCTCCAGGTTGGTTTTACAGTTCTCATTGTCTAGCTTGGGCTATCTGCATGTCCAGGTTAGGTTCAGCTAGAGGTCACTAACAAACCTCTTCATCAGTGTTTGTGTAGCAGCCAGGAAGAGAGCTGCTACTGAAGGACGAGGCCAACCTGGAACACAGAGAGCAAACTGTTACTGACAAACATAATAGAAACAATTTGTAACTGAAGTGTCAGATTGTATGCATGTGTAAATGATTTATGGGGAAGTTGTTAATAAATATTAAAATATCTGTCAGAGCTATTTTACAAAGCAAGGTTTTTTGTGGTTAGCAAGCCTAAGGTAAAATAAAAAGCTGGCTCTCAACAACTAACTCCTTTGAGAAAAAGGGTCACTTCTATTAATCTATTCTTAGTTTATGGAATATTATATATATGCAAACTTGATGAGTTGTAACATTATATAAGTAATGGCACCAAAATAACATGTGTACATACTGTATGCATGGTGTTGTGTTTCTTTGGCACTACAACCTATATCAGTGATGCAGAAACGATTGTATATCGGAGTTAATAGAATACAGATTAGAGAATTAAAATGTTTTTATCAAATTGATTAAAAAAAAGAGTTTTCCACATATCTATAATGGGACAGTCAGACCTAAATGTATTTTGAGGACAACGTTTAAATGTGTTGTATCAAGTTTTGATTTGAAAAGCTGCAGAATTGGCAGTTATCACATTAGAAATAAACAGTGTTGCATTATGCTGTAATATTCTCATTTCCAATATTCTCACAAAAGGCAGAAGTAGGCATTTGTTTATCCATATTTGTATGGTAGAAGAGTCAAATGATGCCCCCCCTCATGAGAACACACACAGAGAATAATAAATAAAGCCTGGGTTATCAAAGACAGTTAATACACATCGTCCTGGTAGCCGTTATCGCTGATCAAACTAACTGCTGCTTGCTAATATAAATATTTGTTTTAATATAACTGATATGATCATGAGCTCAGACAAATCCTGCTTCTGACCTTATCAGGGTCCATAGGGGGACATTTCCAGTTGTAGAGGTAATACTGCAGATTTCCATCTCCTATGCCAAACTTGAGCTTCTCCAGGAACACTTTATTCTCCATTAGATCCAGGGCATTGAACACATCAAAACCTTTCTGTTAAACACAAAGAAAGTCACAAACTCAATACCAAAATCAATCACAGAACATCAACAAAGATGATATCCTAAAACTGCAGATTCATTATTTAAGGTCCCTGATGCTGCCCATTTTGTTTGTATTCGCAGCTCGTGAAGTCTTTTTCATTTTCATAAATGTAAAAGGTATAAAGGGATAGTTTGTATTTTTCACAGTGGGGTTGTATGACGTACAGTAGATGGCAATAGACTGATCCAAATGAGCATGAATAAGTACCTCATATAACCCCACTTTATGAAATCCAAACTCTCTCTTTTACAACTCATAGTATCACAGAACTGGTTTATTATTTGGTAGTGTTATCTGATTTACAACCATCTACATAGAGTGTAACTTTACCAGCTTGGCCAGGATCAGAGCATCATTCATTAAGTCCAGTAGTGGGGTTTGTGTATGAACGTTGTAAAAAGAGTAGGCAGCCTTCAGGCTCCTGTGTAGAGGGTGATGCATCACGGTGGAGGGCAGAGTGTAGAAACTAGTGAAATCTGTCAGAACACCACCGGCACCCTGAGAACACAGAGAGGCACAACGAAGGTTTAGACGTATGTAAGAATCAACAGTAAGTATCTTGAGGGACAGATAGTAATTTCAGATACCTCTACTACAAATGTGTCAATGATGTTGTCCTGTGGCAAGAACCAGTGAGACACCTCCTCGTCTCCCATAGAAGGAGCAAGCTCGAAGCGTTTGAGGAATTTCAGTAGCAGCTCAGTGACTTGGCGGATGTCACGCCTCTCCATCGGCCGCAGACCTGGGGTCTTGGTGCTCTATATAAAGGTGTAGAGAGAGAGAAAAAGAAAAACAGACATTAGTTCCTGCCATAAATAAGGATACTAAAGATTGATCCAGGATTTAAATGTTTTATTATTTTACATCTGGTAGTCTGTAGAGCTTCATGGTTCTTTGCAGAGTCATGTTTCTGCTCAGGTGGGAGAACTTCACTTCCACAAGCTTCCTGGGGTTCAAAGAACGATGCCAGTACCTGACAGAAAAACAAGCAAAATAGCAAAAGCGTTAAGGACTATTGGTTTCAAAAGAGTTTCTGATGCTGTGTCTCAATGTGTTTCGATACTGCATAGCATACCTGCATGTGGACACAGGTTTAGGCAGCACCACTCCTGCTGTGTATACCGCCTGGAATATTCCTTCAATGTTCACCCTCCGTGTGATCTCTCTGATGAGCACTGGAGCAACACGCTTTGAACGCAGCTTCTTATGGACACACAGGAAGTTGATTTCAACCATTTTCTTCAGTCTGGAGCAGCAGAAGGAGACAAAATGTGCATGGTGGTAAAAATGTAATATTACTGTTTTGATCTAAATGCAAATGATCAGTAAGGAGCACTCACGTGTCATAGATGCGTATATCTGCAGGGATGGCACTGATGAAGCCAACAAGCTTCTTATTTGAGGACACTCTCACTCCACAATGCCACTGTGGTAACCAACCAGGGGGACGCAGAGCCCTGAGAGAGGGGAGGGGTTTTAGTGGGAGAACAGACTGATGGGTAATTTAACTACATATTGGGGGGGAGTTTATTTGAATAACATCAGAGCTGAAAGCTTACCATTTGAGAAAGTTTGGTGAATAATCAAATCTGAACATGTTGTCATCATCCTCCACATAGTTTTCATTTAACAATGTGTACAGCTCCTTCAGCTGAAAGACAAACCATTTGTTTTAGTGTGTCACTTCAACAAAATGTTTTATCCAAAAACTAATCTTGAAAATGATCAAATAAGTTGAATGTTTTAATGTCTGAGACAGACACTGTACTTACTATATCTGCATTGCTGAGATCCAAAGTGTCCCACATAAAGCCTTGAGGTAAGGAATATGGCTCCTGTCTGATGTTTTCTTTGTCAGCTTCTATCGGCCCGTGACTCGTCACCACCTCATCTGCAAAAATAGCACAACTCTTGTCAAAGATATACAAAAAAACTTCAATATATATTTCTATTGGACCTTTGATTTTGCATTTTGTTCAGGTGACAATGATCCAGAGAAAACCCCAACCATTGATGTCTTTAAAAACAATAAGGCTATATAAAAACAATCTGCTTCTGTCAAAACAGCTTAGTCTAATCATACTTATTAAATAAACAATACTTTAGCTCACTCTGCCTAAATTAAGTTTATACTTACTTAGCTTGGGCACAGGCTGGGTGTCCCAGAACTGGTACTTGTGCTTGGATGCATCATCAATGCTCTTTGCTGGACCCTGGCAGGACAGCAGCTCCATGGCTCTTTGGATGTCCTGCAGCTTCTGAATGGGCAAGCCAGGGTTCTACATGTAGAGAGGGGACACGTACACTAATAAGAACATGTACAACAAAGTTAGTACATAACATCCGAATGTCCTTTAAGAAACAATTGTCACAACACACACACAGAGGGCATGTGCGAGACTTATAACCTCTTCCAAAAGAAACCCAAACTCTAAGGATGTTAGGTGCAAGTTTAAGTGATCTTTCCCACTAAACATCAGATCATAGGTCACCCATGTCCACAGCTGTAGTTCAGTTCATGCACCCGTCAAACTCTGTTCTTGGTTTGTTTACTTGTATACTCATAGCCCTGTTTTCTTTACTGGTATCCCAGCTTTTGTTCAGTCTCAGGAAAAGATTTGTGTAAGAAACATGAGAAACCTAGTTAATCATATCCCAGTATACAATATCCAGGTTTAGTGCAGGCATTTGTACAATTTCTGGTAATAAGTGATGCATATGTATTTACTTATTTTGACAAGTCTGTTATTCTATGAATGAAACTTGGAAGAGTAAAAGCTTCAGCTCAGCATGAAGAAGCACTGACTTCAATAAGGACAAGTCATGTCCCTTATGGAACTTGCAAAATCGTAATGAGAAAAGGAAATGAATGAGGTAGGGAATGAATAAGATAAATACACATATGGGTTTAAAGCGTTGGTATTATTAAATGTAAGCAAATTCTAAATCCAATATAATCCCATTGACACTGATCGCAAACAAACTTGGTTTTCTTGGGTTGCTGCCTGTGTGCAGAAATCCTATTCCTTGTGTCCTTGTGTCCCTTTTCCTACTCCTACTCCCTTGTCTACCATCGGCCTGGAACTAGGTTAGTGGCTAATGGCTTAAAATGTGGCCTGAAAAGGGTGTGTTTCCATTTCAGTGGCTCCTCATCGCACCTTTATCTCCTGAGAGTCAGATGCAGAATCAGACTTGGCTCCCCCCGAGCTTGGCTTCTCTTTCTTCCTCTTCTGCTTCTTCTTCTTCCTCTTGGCCCCCAAATCTCCCCCTGGACTCCTACATATGTGAACACAAACACGTCATTAAACAGGGGTCACTGAAATGGTTTGACTCTCGGCACACAGAACCAGAGCAGCAGTGAGCTAACGTTAGCTACCATAGCAACGATGACAGCTGAGCTAGCCTAACGGTAGCTAACTAACGGTTTGTCTGAACGGCTGGCTGTCATCATGTCATTCAATCAGGATGCTAACAGCTAGCTGAGAGTAAAACATGTATCCGAGGGTACACGGGGATAAAACACCATAAGTGACAACACTTTAAGGTTTCAAATTAGGACTTCTACTGTGGTAACTCGTTTGAAATGAAGGCCTTTTGGCAGACAGCCTGGCTGTTTTTGTGTCGGCTAACGTTAGCTAACTGCGCTAGCCGTTCCCGGCCGAGCACACATAAACACAAACAGGCTTCCTGAGATAACTGCGCCTCCCGACCGGACAGGCCATCCTCACCCTTGCAAATGCTCATTCTCCTCTTCGTTGTCTCCGTCTATCCCGCAGGTATCCTGGTCGTCTAGCTCCAGGCTCTGCTGACTGGCCGCAGATTCACTGTCCTCCGCCATCATAAAAATGTTTTAAAAAATTGCAGCCAGCCACCGTGTATGATAGAGATCACAGGCAGCGGGCGAGAGATGGAAAAACAAAGAAGTTCTGAAGGAAAGTGCACCGCTTAGAGGCCAATGTGGGGAAAACAGAACAGAGCCAAACTCCACCTTTTATCGTGAACATTTGTAAGAATTAAATCTGATTATAAGCAGTGGTGGAAAACGTATTCATACTCTTTACTTGGGTAAAAGTACTAATACCACATTGTAAAACTACTGCATATTACTTAAATAAAGGTACTTTGTATGTTGGATGGTTTAATCTGAACCAAATAGGCCTAATCATAATTCATACGTTTTTCCTGAGTATTGAGTGTCAACATCTGAAGTGATAAAGTAACTAGTAAATAAATCTGTCAGACAAATGTAGTGGAGTAAAAAGTATAACATTTGGTTCCAAAATGTAGCAGAGTAGAAGTATAAAATGAAAATACTTAGGTAAAGTACAAGTACCTACTTAATTAATGGTGAAAATTCCCCCCAAAATACAAATTTAACACATAATGAAACATCAAAAGATTAAATTGTGCTAACTAAAATTCAGGTTTTTTATTCCCAGGCATATGTGTTATTCATTGAAAAAATTGATTAGGGTAACATTATACGACATATTCCATATATCTACTGTCTGGTACTATTGAATCAGTTTTACATGGATTTCAAAAGTGGTATGAAAAAAAGCTAAAAGTGGCTGTTAGAAACTATAGGTCAATCAAAGTGGCAGCTCAGTAAAAACAATAAGACCCACCGCTGGATAAAATCACAAAGTTATAACACTTTATGTTGAGAGGTTTGGTACTGCCATCAATTGAGATAATCTTATTGAACAGGACATAAAAGAAATACAAATGATCATGCTGCAACTTACTTGATATACGTTTGTTCATCATTACACAAATTAAAACACACAAATAATTCCAGTTTGGCGGTTTATTAGAATAATAGGCTTCAAATATAATGCAAGCAACCAAGCTACACACTCAGATGCTGTACTACTGCAACTCCACCCTCGACCTGGAGATTGCTGTGGGATACTAAGAGAAAAGAGAACATTCACAACAACTCACGCATCATTTGACCAGGTGAAGCAAAGGAAAAACTATACACACTCTTTAATATGATTGCTATGACTATATCAACCTTGAGTGGATGTATGTTGATTATTTGTCAGCGGTCTTGCATCGACACAGTCTGACAACACCAACTCACAGCCAGCAACAGAGCAGATGAACACAACCCAGGCACACACATTTGAGACGAACATTCACCCTCTACAGACACTAAAGTAAGAAAATGCACTGAAATGACCTGCAGTTTAGCTTCACATACAATCGCACTTAGCTTTATCTATTCCGTGCTTCACTCAAAACTTTTGTAAATCCTTAACTGCTTAGTCTAAGACAGATTGGTGCCTTGCTGATTACTGTAGAGGATTTTACGATTGAAGCAGCTGGTAGACATTTTCTGAAACGTCTGCAGTGTAGCTTGTAATATGCTAGTGCTGAGGAAAGTTTACTGCATGCTTTCTTTCACAAGTGGGAGAGAAAGGGAGGGCTGAGGTAGAGGAGAGAAGCTAAAGGCAAAAGAAGGTGAGAAATAAATAAGGTTTTCTGTTCCACAAATTGGATGTATAGTCAGGTTGTTCAAAGGCACTTGGAACATGAGGAAAAGGTTAAAAACAAAAATAAGGTGAAACAGAGCATGCAAAAAATAGTTTGGTTTCAGGTAAAACTTGCAGTTGTGTTTTTGTAAGTCTTAACATAAGGCGAGTTAGGAAAAAAAGTCCTTAACATATTAAAGGAAATAAAAATAGCCTATTTTCCCAGGTAAAATACTTCATGTTGGCAATTAAAATTATATTGATTAAAATGACAAAAAAGGCATCTCAAGCAGCCGTATAAAAGTGATGCATAGCCTTCAGAGCAAAAATATTCTAGTCAGTGGTTCAACAAGCACAAAACCCTTCATATTATTACACCTCACACTTTTTGTTTTGTTGGTGGAACTACAGTTTTGCAGTGGTATTACATCCTTATAACCAGCAGAGTGGTGTGTCACATCTGTGCAGTGCGGATAGTGGTTTCATTTCAGTACTCCAAACACTTTACCCCCTCTGTGGATCATCTAAAAACCCATTCAGCCTTCTGATGGGCTAGATTAAATTCTAGCATCATACTTAAAACCAATTAAAAGTACAGGATTCACATGTTTATATCAGGGCTGATTATCTGTGCAGAACCCACTGTAAGACTTTTCCTGACAGACTAAAGAGTAGGATCACCTGCCATATTTTGGCACAGATGCTCCACAATCTTAAAAATGAGGGTATTCATCTCACGATAAAGAAGTGTAGTGTGTTCTTTACAGTCAGTGGACTGAGGCCAATATGGCTAGAGAAAAAGGCTCCTGTATTCGTTCATTTGTGAGAACCACCCATAGTCTGTTCCCCCAACAGTTCCTTTATGCGCACAAGGCTAGTTATAAAAAAGGCATATATTTGTTGTGCATAAAATATTCAACTTTCTCGCCTCCATCGTCCATTTGTCTTCGTCAAGTGTACATCACTCCATCCTGATGAGTTTATGGAAAGTGTGGAGAACAACAGTGGTCTTTTAATAAAGGAAACCTGAAGCTCTGGACTAGGAGGTATCCCAGTGCTGAAATATTATGTCAGTGCTCTATTAAGAAAACAAAGAGCTATAATTAAAATGGTCTTTTCCTTCACGTTATGATCGGCGCAAAAACAGGAGCCATAGTTAAAGGATAGGTTCACACTTTTGAAGTCTCAAATAAAAACTGACATGCCCATATGTACAGCTGAACAATTTTGGTCGTTGTACTTGTTGCAAGATTGAGCAAAAATTCATGGTCCTTGTTCCCTGCATTTACAGTGAATTACATTTAACGGGAAGATTATATGATTATAATCTGTTGTGAGAGCATATTTATGGAGTTTATTTATGATGGACATCTGAGAGAATGAAATATGTAAGTGTAAATCACACTGAATTAAAAAATATAAGTATTATTTCTGTGTGTTGAGATGAAACTAAGAAGTGTATAAATGCACCCGTTTTCTGAGATAGTTGCTATTTATTTTTACTGCCTATACTTACTACTTGTTATTGTAATGCCTAGATTTCCTATAGGGATAATAAAATCCTCTATCCATTTAAAAAAAGAAAAATGATTTTGCGAGATCTCCAATATTTAAGATTGATACTAAATCAGACCAAATTAGAATATATTTTAGCACAGAACAAAAACGGTTGGTTTTGTCTCACCATCACTTTAAGACGGGCCATTATGCACAGTAGGAATAATTACAGCAACCAAAAATGCTTTCTATGTACTTATTGGCATGTGAGTATTTGATTAAGAAATAAAGTGTGAGGCTATCCTTGAAGTGGTCATCTGTGGATCATTTCAGGTTGAAGGCCAGCAGAGGTCGCTCCTCTCTCTTCTGCCAGGGACTCTTCTTCTCCTCCTCTCCATCATCCTGTGCTGCATCGTCATCAGGAGACACTGACAGCAGTACATGATCAGTCCTGAACGTCTCTCCCTCAGGTGTTGGCAGGGGTGGAGGAGAAGAAGGGGATGAAGAGGAAAGTGAGGGCGGTTCCTCTTGTATTTGTACCACCTCTTCTATTTTCCCCTCCTCACCCCCCAGATCTCCCCTCTGACCCTCTGCTTTGTCTGACAGGATGTGTGCCGTGTCACTGTCCTCTGGGCTGCATTTGGGCGTCTCTTCCTCGCTGCCGCCCCCGTCCAGATCATCCACATACACCAGCTGAGTGTAGGCCATGGCTGGTGCCGTGCTCTTCGACCTGTCTTTCGCAATCCCTCTTTCCTGCCATCCTACAACTCTCCCCCTGCGGCCCACTCTCAGCTCGTTCAGGTCCACGCCGGAGTCCAGGCTGGCATCGTTGCCCCGCCTACCACCGCTGCCAGTATCGTGTTGACCTCCTCCACCTGGCGAGCTGCTGTGGCACCCCGCCCGCTGGAGGTCAATGTAGGAGTGGCGAATAGCGTTGGAGCGTCCATCAAGCGAGACGAACCAGGCTCGTGGGTGAGGCAGAGGCTTCCCTCCCCTGAGCTCCATTAAAGTCTTTTCAGCCAACAACGTGTCCTCGCTGTTTATTTCCATCAGACCCGTTTCCCCAAGCGCTGCTGGGATGGACAGAGACTCCGACAGCCCCATACGTTCTCCACCGCCCTGTTTGGCGGGATGCGGGCCGAGGTCAGAGAGGGATTGCCCCAGTGGCTGCTGGGAATGTGAGGCATTCAGCTCAGCCTGGATGGTCTCCAAGTCACTCTGCTGGTCAGTCTGTAGTAGAAGTGCCTGACCGGACAGAGGGTGCTCCCCCGGCAGGCGCATGTAGTGAGCTGGGATCACCAGGGTGGGACGCACCCTCGGGTAGCCCTCCCCCCCACTCAGCAGGTCCACGGAGCCGCAGCAGAGCAGCTGGCCCGGCCTGGAGAGCAGGGGGGGGGTGGGGCGCTCTAGGTGGTCAACAGAGCGGGAGAGGAGGTAGTCAGGAGCTCTGCACTCACACACCTCCCCTCTACTGGGGGAGTGAGGGGGAGAGGAAGGGGAGATGAAGTCAACAATCCCGACACTGCTCAGCTGATTGGCAGACACCTGACCGTGATTGGCCGACGACAGTGCGTCTGAAACCGGGTTGCTGGACGAACAGGCGGAGGTGTATGATTGGCGGTAGCCTCTGTCTGTCCCACACGAGAGGGCGGACTTTAATTGGAACGTCTCGGCAGACTGCCGGTAGTCTCTGCTGCGCGGCGTCAGGTTGCCAAGAGAAGAGCCGTGGTGACTGTTGCCGAGCGAGGAGCGGCTGTGTTTGCTGTGATGGATTAGGCTGTGTTGACGATGATTGTCTTGTTGCTCATATGAGGACGGCTTCAGCATCGGTGTGGTCATGTCGGGCTCAGTCGCCGCAGAGACAAGTTCCAGCTGCGCCTAAAGACAAAACAATAATAGAGTAAGAAACTGTTTAAATATACTCACAGTAAAGACGTCATTTGACATTAGAGAAAGAAGGTGATTTTCA